GCCCCCCACAAAAAATTTTTTTTTGGCTAAACGAAATAAGCGTAAAATTTTTTTCTTGTGGATTTGGAAAGCGCATAAATAGCGCATTATTATATAATTTTTTCATAAAATTTTGGTTAAGTGGAGGGGCCAGCTAGGCAGACGTCGCGAAAAGTCAATTTCTATCACATTATCAAATTTCGTATAAACAATTGCGTTGATAGTCTTGGTGAGGGCTTTCTCGAATCCTACTTCCACACGCAAACTCCTGTGTTTCACGAGATTCTAATGTTCGACGCCATTGGCGAAAAGATCGGGTGTAAAATCAAAGGCAAAAATCGTGTATCCGCGAGCGTAATCATCTCTACTAATGGCGTTTTCTTCGTTTAGAAAATGTATACCCGTACCCGAAAAAAGAGTTTGGTAAGCTTCAACATAGAACGGTTCTTCCGAGAAACGAAATTGTAACGGTCTGCTAGAGATTTGCATCCCATCTTGATAGAGAGAAAAGAAATTTATTTCATAATGTTTGTTGCGGATTCAATCGATTTCGTGACAGCGGTCGATAATCGAATTATAATCCGCGGATACAGTTGGAATCAATAATAATCCGCGTGAAGCCGGAGAGGCAGCACTTCCCGGCAAGCATATTTGGCGTGATTGTTTTCGTCAATCACGCATAATACACGTGAAAAGTCGCGAATCGTAAACAAAATTCCTTTGGGTTTCTCGACAGCATATGAGTCGGCAGTCGTACAGAATCTCTCCAAAGAGAAAGTCGATAAAAGTTGAGCGTAATAATCAATTAGCGGGTTATATTTTAATTAAGTCGGAGCATTCGACACGAATTAGAAGTACCACGAGTGCCGTATTGTACAGAGTGCTGTACTATCGAGATTTAGTTGCTGCAAACATTTCGGCGAAATAATCGATAAAGCGAGCCCTCAGTTAAAGTGTAATCTATTGTTAGACTCTGAAGTGTATTACGCACAGTAACGACTTTTAATCAGTTCTAGTTTCACATGTCGGTGAACGAACAGTAGCGACTCATATTTCAGATTTAATTCACGTGTCAGTGAGTTAAATTAATGTTATCTCTTACACGCCGATTATTCGATCGCATGTAAGGATATTTGAAAATTCAATACTCGTGTCAGAGTACACTTTGCGTTCACGAGAGCG